GTATTAGTACCCTACGACGCCCGTAAAAAAATAGTACCTTTAATTAATTACGCAAAAATTATATAAATTCATAAATATTTATTTTACTGATAAGAAATGTATATATATTTTTTTAAAATGTGAGAGATGCTTCTTTTGTATTTTTATTTTTAAAAAAATTTATAAGGATTTGAGTTAGCAAATGGCTAATCAATAACTCTTGCAATAACATTAAAGATAGAATTACTATTCAATTAATGTTATTGATATTTATTCGTTGATATTACATTAAAATAAAAATTTTCATATTTGTACATTTTTATTTTATTTATAAAAAACTTAAACAAGAATTTAAGTTAGCAAATGATTAATCAATAAACCCTTACAATAACATTAAAGATATAATTGTTATTCAATTAATGTTATTAATAACCGTTTTTGTTTTCATAAAATGATAATTTTTAATTTACCTTGTGTATAAAAACTTAGGATAGCAAATGACTATTCTATGAGCTTTTATGATTTACATGATATTAAGGGTAGAAGGACTACTCAATTAATATCATTAACCACTAAAAACAACTTCTATGTGAGAGAGGAACCCCTTTTTTTTATTATAAATATTTTATTTAAATAAATAAATTTTGCATAATGATTCAAATTAGCAAATGACTAGTTATTACTCTCACAATTAAATAACTTCATAAATAAAAGTGTTATTCAATTAACGTTATTAACTATTACAAATTAAAGAATATTTTAAAGAATATTTTTTCCAAGAAAATAATTTACTCTAAACATAAAAATTCATGATAGCAAATGACTATTTTATAAATTCTTATGATTCACGTGATATTAAAGGTAGAAACGTTACTCAATTAACATCACAAATAGTTGCATACGAGAAGATAATTTATATGTGAAATAAACCTCTTTTATTTATTTATTTAAAAAAATTGTATAAGAATTTAAGTTAATAAATGACTAATCATTAAACTCTCAAAACAACATAAAAATAGCATTGTTATTCAAATAATGCTATTAATTATAGTAAAAATATTTTGAATTATTATTTGAGTGAAAAATGATGACTTTCCTATTTTTAAATCATCCTCACACAAGAATTTAAGCTAACATGGTTAATAATTAAACTCTCATCATCAAATAGTGTCAATGATAAAATGCTATTTAATTAACACTATGAATTACTACATTAGACTAATTAACTTTTAAAGAAACTTTCATGTACTAGAAAAAATAAATTCACTCATACATAGTTTATGGTAACCAATGGTCATTAAATAATTTTGTATAGACTTAAGAGATCTTAATAGCCAAATTGTTACTTGTTTAATATCATGAACTATTGCACAAATTGAATTTTTAAATACTCTATAAGAAAAAAATTGCACATTATATTTAACAAGAAGAATAAAGGTTCAAGATTTTAATCTTATTATTTTTATTATACATTTTAATTTATGTCTAAGCAAAAGATTACTCGTAATATATGACTTATGAAAAATTGCAAATATTGTGGCCAAATCTTGTTTATAGTTGATGTACCCAAGATTATATTTTATATATAAACTTGATGTTGCAGTATACGTAGAATTCCTTGTGAGAACAGTGAAAGTGCAGTTAGGCAAATCATTACTTGAAAGATATATTTAACCAATAAACATACCTTCAATGATGGATAATATTCATTGAATAAAAGCAATCATATCATTTGAATACATTAAGAAATGGGAACAACTAATTTTTATGTTTGCATAACAAAAATAAAGCTTTCCATATTTACTTTGGAACATACAAGATTTAAATCTTTATCCTATTTAACAATTAGAATTAATTTTTTTGAACCCAATAATCCTAATCATATCATAGGTGGATTGTCAACATACCAATGAAATCTCGAGCCAAATTGGGAGACTCAATTCACTGCAATGCCAAAGAAAGCTTCCAAAACCAAAAGTCCAAAGCTAATGCTCGAATACCCATACGACAAAAAAGCAAAACTCTATCACGGACTCTTCCTGAAAGAAAGAAAGAAAAAAACTCCCTTTTCTTGAACCACTCAATCTCTTTTAAAGTTGAAATTCATTTGTAACCAATCTCCTCACTATATGACCATTTCCTTCTTTTTAGTTAACCAACCTTATTCACAAATATATTTATATTCTATTTTATTATTTAATTACTTTTATTTTGTGACAAAATTATTTTATTTTTTTATGAGAAAAAAAATCATTTATTCTAAGAATAAGTCTTGATAGATATGCTATACTCAATAATTAATGTTTTACATCAAAATTTTAAAAATTTAATTATTAAATTAAAAGTTTTTTAATACATAAATTAAATTTACAATTTTTTAAAATAATTGAAAATCATATGATACTTCGTTAGATACATTCAAAATAATATATAAAATATTTTCTTTTTATTATTCATCAATTTAAATTAATAAAATGGAGTATTAAATAATATTTATTTTTTTAAAATTTTATGAATTTGATTTATACATTAAAAACTTTTAATTGAATGGTTGAATACTTGATAAATAACATGAATTATTGAGTGAAATAAATCTATCAAAATTTATGCTTGAAATAAGTAAATCCATTCTCATTTTTTTATTATTATAATATACTATATATTTTTACTAAAAGATTTATTACTTCTTTATTCATTAAAGATGTCATAATTTAGTTTACTAATGTAGGATATTTTTCAATTTTTATTTTAATTTTTTACCCTTTGATCATGTATATGTATATTGTATGTTGGTAAGAGATGATTCACATAAAAAAGAATGAGAATAATTGTCACACAAGTTTTTTTAACTTAAATATATTTAAATAAAAAAATTTACTCTTATAAAAAATAGACATTACACTTATAAAATATTTTTATTTTAGATGAGTGTAGAAATTTAAAAGACATTAAAAAAAACAAATAATAATTTATTATTTTTATCCTATTAATTTTTATTATTTTATTCTTCTAATATTAAATAAGACACAAAAAATTATAAAGTGACACTTAAATATAATTTCAAATAAAGAAAATTATTACTCTATTTCTAAGATAATTATAATTTATAAAAATAAGAAATTTTAAAATTTTTACCATAAAAATATATTTTTCAAAAAATTATTATATTTTTAATAAAAATAATATAGAATATTTTATTATCCCACTAACAAATTTTTCAGTATCCGTGACGGAATTGATTTCTCTTCCCCCAGATTTCAAATTGCACTAGCAAACCATCACACTTGACAATTCATTATTATAATATACCACGTGTCAAGTTTTTATAGGTGAGGGCATGAATTGGGACAAAATGTTGAGGCAGGTTATTTGGGTTTGAAGGATGAAGATTCATAATTTTCTTATTAATAATTTATTTGTTTATTCGGTAAAAAAAAAGAAAGATGAAACTCATACTTTTCTTTGTATTAATATTTTTCTTTTTACATAGAGAAAAGAAATCAACAAAGGCAACGAAATGAAGGATGAAAATTCATATTTTTCCATATATAGAAAGTAGGATTGAAATTAAGTTCCATCTTGTCTTATACTAGAAGATACTCATTTGTATACTAACTAGGACCCGTGCACTACACGGGTTTATATATATATTAAATGACCGTTTAGCATATCATAGAAGAGTAGGAGGAGGCGAATTCTTTTACGACCCTCCTCATTCTAACATTCAATAATCTTAATGTCTCCCTTTTCAAATTATTCGACAAAATGTCATTCTTGAGTAGGCATGGCAATCTAATCCGTCTTAGTGAGTATCCACTCGAACTCACCTCGATTTAGATGGGAAAAACCCGTATTTATTAAGTTCGGATTCGGGTTCAGATTTTCCTCGATTGATAAAATCGGAGGCGGGAATGGGGATGTTAATATTCGCCTCGCCCCCTCCCTCACCCCGCTTAATAATATATTTAAAAAATTATTTATATATATATATATATAAACTAAAATTAAAAATATTTATATGTAAAAATTTATATTATTTTACTTTTTTTTTATTTTTTTAAAAATTGTTCATATTTGTTTAAAAGAAAAAAAAATAGGAGCAGGGGCAGGGGCGGGGATGTGTATACAGATTTCACCCCTAAAATCTATTCACATATACACGGAGATAAATCTCAGACAAAAAAATAAGATGTGATTATTGTAAAAATGTTGAACACTAAAAAAAAAATCCATAATTTCAATAATTATGATATATGTATTATATATACATATATTTTATGTTTGGATAATAAAAATTCAAAAAAAAATCATGTATTTTTTTGTTATTTATAATATTTAAATATACTTTATTTTTTAAATTTAATTTATGCTTTAAATATTGTTAATAATATTATATTTTATTCATTAAAATATCATATACATTGATGATAGAGGCATGGCCAAGGGTCTTACTACTAGAGCTATGGTTAGGAAAATGCTAGAAGATTGAGCCTACCATGAGGTTAGTGGACCTAAGCTCATCTTAAGTTATAAGCTACTAAATATTTAAGTCCAATACTTCTCATACTTGTACATATTTTCTTTTGACCTTATATTTGTTGAATCTTGCCATAAATAAATGTTCTAATAATGACAACCCTTAGTTTGAAGTTTTAATCATAGAGAGTTCTTAAAAAAAAGTACAAATATATTTGTTTTTGTGTTTCAGATGTATTTAGTACTTAGAAATTTTATAAGTGTTTCAACTCAAAAGCACCCTCAAAAGATAGCCAAGCAATCTGAGTTAGTATGAAGCATCTTGGTCAAAACTAATTTTTGAGTATACAAGTCTACTAATTCAAGGAAGTTCAAGATGAACATCTTGTCTTAGGGAAGATGCCTTGAAGACCTTGTATAAAAGTCCCTCTAATGGAACCATTTGCTTCAAGAAGTCTTAGTTCAAACTCAACTTCTCAGAAGATTGGTACTGAAGACCATGCTCAAAAGGTTGTTCAAAAGCATTATTATAAGGAAGCTCAGAAGGAAGCTTCAAAAGCAAACTACTTCTAAAGGATATGTTGACTACACTAGAATAAAAGTACAAGCTGATGTCAACATTGCCTCAAAGTTAAGCTAGCTCCAATGGACCTATTTTGGAGTCTATAAAAATAAAACCAAGGCTATTGTTTCATCAAGCAAGACTAAAAAGAGAACTTAAAATACTAGTTACCAAAGTTGTAATCCTTTGTTTCATACTTTATTTTTCAAAGATCTCCACTTCTACATTTGTATTAATCTTGTAATAGAGAAAACAAATTGAGTCTTTCTTAGTGGAAGCTCTAATTTGGATAATTTGTTGTAAACATATTTTAGTGTTAGGATACACAAATCCATTTTCTATAAAAGCCTTCCCTATCTAGATCTAAGTTGTAGAGGTGTAGGAATGAGAGAAAAGAAGTCAATCAAATGGTTGTAGGATCTCATAGCATGTAATTGTGAGGTTGGGTATCTCAATAGGTTGTTGAGGAAGAAGTCTTAGCAAGTTTCTAAGTCTAAAACACAAATAGTAAGTGGTTGTGTTGTATAGAACTAAATTCAACAAGTATTTGTTGGTGCAATCAAGATAGTTATTGCTAATATAATGGAAAAATCTCACAAAGTGTGTGAGGACTAGACATAGCTCAAGTTTGAAGTTTAGTGGAAAACACACAGAAGGGGGGTTGAATGTGTGTGAAAGAAGTATTTTAAAAATGTTTTTGCAAAGGAGCTTCTTTCCGTCTGAAAATAATATTTCAAGCACTTAAAAAAATGTGCAAGATTGGTTTAAAGAATCTTTGCGTCTGAAGATCTATCGTCTGCTAAAAAATAGTTTATTAAGTCAAACAAATATAATTTCATCTCAATATTGTTTAGAAAATAAGTGGTAGTAGACGAAGTCTTTTAGTGTAATATATCAATATAAGTAAAATTGCATTTATAAATCAAATAACAATGCACAGGGTTTTATACTGGTTCACTCGTCCTGAGCTACATCCAGTCTCCTTCAACTGAAGGGTTCCATTAATCACAATGGATTACAAGTATTTTTAACCACTTCTGGTTCGTCAACTTTACTCGTTGATGCTAGTATTCTTAAACCACTTCTGGTTGCCCAAGTATTCTTAACCACTCCTGGTTTGTCAACTTCTAACGCTAGTATTCTTAAACCACTTTTATTTTTTCAAGTATTATTTTACTAGCCTCTTCAGGCTTTATAGACGATAGATGTTTCGAGTGTGTGTGTGTGTGTAATTCTCACAGAGAGGATAGTATGGTTTCTACACTCACTAAGGTATTCAACCTTAATATTACAAGGTTATGTGTTTAGAGTGTGTATGTAACTCTCATAGACAGGATGGGTTAGTTTCTACACTCACTAAGATAAACTATCTTATTTTTACACTGATATTCAAACCTGGACAAGAAGAGATGTGAGTTTGTTTTGGCACTTGCTTTTGCTTATTACTTGTTGCTTTTCTTCTCTCTTCTTCTCTTTTCAGGTTTTGATATTTATAGCCTTTTGACAAATCTTCCCGTTGTTTGAATTTGAATGTGTTTGTTGAGGCGGAGCTTTCCGTTGGTGCAGATAGTCGTCTGTTCATGGCTACACAGATCTTTTTCATTTAATGCATTTGATCTTGCATTAAATGCTTGCTTGCTGAATATGTGTTACGTGAAGTCCTTTGCGTAATTTGTTCTCTCTTATTTTTGACTTCAATCATGACCTAGGTATGTTTGTCCTTTTTTTGTCATTGTAGCTGCGGAGGCGTTGCCTTTTTTTGAAAAGTAGATGTACTTGCCCTGACACACGCAGCTTTGACTTGTGAATTCGTGATCTTCATTTTTTTTCTCCTTTCTGTTCATATCTTTGATAACTCTGTGTGCTTTTCTTATGAATGGAGACGATATATGATCTTCTTCGATGTGACTAGTGGACCTCAGACGCTTTTTAACATGCTTCATTTGCATCTGGAAATTTGAGTCTCCGTCTAAGAGTTAGACTTTGACTTTTTCATCTCGTCTGATCAGTTGCGAAGGTGAATGACTTTTATTCCGTCAAGAATATTTCTTCGTCTTGTGTTATCCAACGACTAATGCTTGTTTTGTTGACCTTGTG